GTGTCTTAAGAACAAAGTTAATATCTCTTTCTAAACAAAGTGGTTTTTGTGGAGAGAAAATATCAAATGATAACTAAGAGAAAAGATAAAAAAGAGAGATAAAGAGGTAAAAAACTATTTATAAGAAATATATATAAATAAGAGGGATTTTGAGTACATTATAGATTTTTCATTTCCCTGAGAGCTTCATAAGGTTTTTTATACATGTTTTTTTCATTGTCATCTAAAGAATTTACGTTTGGTCCAAAAAAATATAATATCAATTTTTACTTCCTTTCTCACTGTAAATGCTTCATAAAAACTGCTTCTTCTTTCAGAATTTCTTTCTTATATGTTATTTCTTCATCATTAATTGTCAATTTGTATATTGTTTTTTTTCGGCATTTCTTTTTTTCTAAAGGTGTTTTTCGTCATTCCCTTATTAGCTAATTCCTTTTTGCTCTAATCAACATTCAATTTATTTTGTTCTAAATAATTTAGTTTAGTTCTTGTCGTTTTTTTTATCTAGTTCATCGCATAGTGATTTTATAGCATTGCAATTGTTTTCATCTAATAAATTTTGTTCTAAACATTACATATTTTTGCTTAATTCTTTTTCTTATTTGTATTGTTAACGTTTTTTCATGTGTAGGAAATTTAATTCTTTGATTTCTTACATTTACTTTAATATTTTCCCAAAGAGTATTTGAATTTGTATTTCTTTCGATTTCGACTGTTTCTTTAATACTATATATAATTATTGTTTGATATTCGTTTTCAAGAAATATGCTATTATTTTGTTTGAAATAACCAGGTCCTTCGTCAACTTTTGAACACTCATTTTCCAGTTCCACAATTGAATTATCAGATTTACATCCTGAAGCAATATTACATTTTTTATATTATTTTTTAAACATTCAGATATTCAAAAATAGTCCATTCAACTTGAAATGTGTGGGATCGTATTTGAATGCATCTTGATGGATTACGGAATCTCCATATAACAATTAAGTTTCCTACATTCAAAATATTATTTCGCTTTAGTCTGCTTTTTAATCGCTTTCTCGATTTCCGTTTCTTTTGTCTTTTTGTGTATCTAATACTGTGTTTAAATTACCCTCAATAATTAAATCTTATTCTCCTTCCTGATTAATTGTCGTTTCTGTTGCATTAAAAACTCTCGTATTATCATCGTTTGGTCCGTGGGCAACATGTTATTGGAAACGATCATACCTCTGTGGGATGTGGTCATTACTGAAGTTATTGTATGTATTTTTGTAGTCACTTCAGAGTCTGCTTTTATTTAGACAATTATCTAAATGAAAACAAAAAGTTTTGCATTTAATAAACAAAAAAGAAAAATCAACTACAAAACATAATTTCCTGCAACGTGATGATAACGTATATCAAAAAGAGCCAACAATATCTCTTATAATAAAAATATCTATACTCATTATATTCATACAAAAGTTATTAAATTTATTTTCTTGGTCAGCTACTATTTAATCAAATATGTATATGAAAACGAAACGTTTTGGTCTTTTAAAAAATATATTTATCTACAAAGTGATGGTGACTCTTATCAAAAGATGGTTACTCTTATCAGAAGTCGCTGAAAAATATACCTGTTATTCAGTTACTATAATAACAATGAAGATTCATGTTTGAATGATAATAACATTAAGCATTAAATATACTATCTTCCTAATCATCAAACATGTATTTTGCCATCTATCATTGCTCATTTCACCATGCTAACGTACTTCTTAACCCTTTCCCTCATGAGCATATTGTGAAAAATGGCCGTTTTCATTGAACAGCCACCTGTTACAAGTTAAACTGCTATGAAACTATGAAAAATGCTTCAATACTAATCAAACTTGGCACAAATGTTGACTGTTCAGTCTTAAATTTCCTGTTACCATGGCAACGAGGGGACATCTCAAAATTGTCAAAAATCACTACTTTGCCTTGATTTTTTCCATCAAAATTTATTTCAAAGTGCTGCAACTTCTCAAGGGCAAAGGCTTTTCAGTGTTGGTTACCCGTTACCTTTTGATTGACCTGGGGTCATTTTTAGCCTCTCACAAGTCCAAAATTTTCTTTGCGATGAGGGGAACTACCGCTCCCTTCAAACCCCCCAAACAGACGGTGGCACATCCCCCTTCTGGCAACCCCCTGATGTATCTTTTGGATGGGGGCGGCGACGAAAATATGCACACTTTTTTAGCAACATTTCTCAAACGATAGCATGTGTTTCGGGCCCAAATAGGACATTTTTTCACTAATTGAGGCCTAAAAGAGGGGGGGTCAAAAGTGCATTGTTTCGCGTATATATGAGCTAATTGCTTAAATGGAACTGATAAAGATATAATTCTAACACGTTCACAATATTCTCCAATCAAACAGATAGAAAAACAAATATATTATCATCGCATTGCATGACAAAGTAATGCTTTCAAGTCATCTGGCGTCAGATATGATGTCAAAAAAACAAATGATATCAGGAAAATAACTTCTCAATGAAGTTCAACATATTTTATCAATTCTTTTTTTTATAAGTATGTTAACATGGAAATAGATACTTATTCTTTGTGCATTATATTATAATTATTACGCACGATGTTTCGTTCAAATGCTTTGTAATCACTCCTCGCCTATCAGCCTTCATGTTTATATTCCTGCGCATTTGAACTTGAACCGTACATTATTCGATATCAATGTACTAAGAACATGAAGAATGGATATATTTTTCTTTATTATACACTATTTGTAAAAGAAATGCTTCTTACTTGAATGAAAAATTAAATAAAAAAGGAATATACAAATTTTAGTGCATTTTTCTGGTATTTAACACTTTTGTATGTGGGTGGATTGTTTCACGTTTCCAACCTTTACAAGATTTGAGATTAAATGAGATTTCATGTAAATCACAGGTAACTATGGTTTCAGTAACATAAATGTGCTTAGCTATCGTTATATGGAATAATTATATATTATTATATATTAATGAGATTAAAATGATATTAGTTTGTTAATCAGTTAGCTCATTACAAAATAATTATAGATTATATTAAAAGTTTGGAAATAATGCCCAGTAGTCTCTTAAAATTCTATTTTAGAATGGCTATATGGAATTTATATTTATAAATATTATGTATTGATATTATGAATTGTACAAATATGAGACTTAAACAAAAAATTAAACTGTTATATAATTAACTATTTGTTGCACACACTCGATGTTGTATTGCTTATTCTGAAACAGAATTCAATCATTCACTAAAATTATATCTACGATTGAATAAGATGCAATTTGGACTATCTTTAATCGTCGTGCACCACATTTTATCAGCCAAGCTTTTTTTATTTGAATTTTAAATACTGAAGAAGGACCCTTAATTCTGATATGTGATTTCAGAATATATATTTTGATTTTTTACTCATTCTTATAGATCTTATACGTTGCTTTCAATGACACTTTTTTGTTTCAACATTAATCAATTATCATTATAAAATTTTATATAACCACCGTCACAGTATCCTCGTATAAGTTGTTATAATTAGAACAAGAAAAAATGATTTATTGCAAACCTAATAGTGATAATTAAAGAAGCTTTCAATAATTCCAGGGTAAGGAATAAGACATCATTGCATAAATATTCAGTCAATAAGCTTACAAATGGTACAGACAATGTGCTTAAAGATTTTATATTATATGAGTTGTTTCTATTAAAGGAGACGAAATGGAATAAATCATAAAATATTGAAAGAAATTACGAATTTATTAGAATAAATAGCCAATATTTTATCCTCAACATTTCTCTTTTCTTCTCCTTTTTTTTTCTATTTTTTCTTTGTTTCATTTTTCTTATGAAATGATGGTAGAACAATCTCTTTAACTAATTATTGTATATGTCGGAAAATTCATTTGTGTTTTATATAAAGTAGAAAGCAGCTGCCTTATTGGCGATGAAATCATTTGGTTTCATGCAAGAAGGCGATGTTTATCATAACATCATTCTTAGTAATGCTATATTCCTGGCGCCTAACGATGAATATTTATCGAAACTTCCAATATTATCAATTGAGTTAATAGAATTGAGAATACAATTAAAAATTACATGACTTTCGAATGTATTAACTGTGGCTAGTTTAAGAGAAAACGAAAAGTAAATTAAAACAAAACAAGAACATAAATTGGAATTTACGAGGGAGGGGGGGTTATTGGGGGTGGGGATGCGCGGACGTGATAATGTAGGGGTCAGACGCCATACCCTGCGTATCATACGCGGTTATTCAAAAGATTAAAAAGTAGGCAACATGTCAGGTGCTTATTATATTATTATACAGTATTTATTGTTAATATTCACCTATTGAGATATAATGGCGTTGATAAAGAAAATGAGGGGGCAATAGAAATAAAATATAATTTCATTATTTTTCATCTTTATTATCAAAATAATTCAATTTATTCTACACGACTTGAAGATTCCAAACAATATTAAGATAAGACACAACAATACAATATCTTGGCATGTATCACAATTTTAATCTCTGAAAATAGCAATAAAAGGTTTTTATGCTTGTAGCCAATTAACTGATACTAACAGTAAAAACATTCATATTTATTACTTTTCAGAGCGGACCATCTTTGTGTCAGTCATATAATTTCATGTCAAACGAATTACGCCATGTTTACAGAAACGTTTTGTCTTTCTGAAAAAAATGCATATTATGTAACAGAAAAACATAAGATGTATCATCTTTCAAATTTTGTAATTTGTGCTTTATTTCAAATGAAGGAAACACAATGCAAAAATCAATATATATTTATATAACATGTGTTTTTTTAGTAAATCATTCTCGAATCATTCTTCAAGAATTTGGTTTACCATTAAATAAGAAACAATAAATCACATTCTTGTTTATATTAACACCCCAGTTTTGTATCTATGTACAGTTGTACTCAAAGAAATTCTCAATATTGTCTTGTTTATATATTTTATTAAAACAATATAAAGAATTGTTATTTCTGACTATGCACTGTACAATATACTAGTACGTCATCAAAGGTCATCACGGAATACCATATGCATGTATGCCGGATGGAGATGACGGCCACTTGACGATGACGTCAGTGTCTGGAAGTCATTGTGTTCGTTACTCGTCGTGTATTCCCGTCGGAATTTTCGTTGAAACATCACCCGAATGCTTCGCCGGAAGTTCCGTGACATGAAGCAGTAAAACAGGGGGTTGATACAGGACTGAATATAAGGTAACCAATCAATGAAAACCTGAAAATTGTAAAAAATTTAAACATGTTTTTTTTGTATATACAAATTTGTTTATCATTGAATAAAACGCATGTATATGTATGAAGTAGACCGTTTAAACATTAAGGTCTTTTAAAAGTATTCATTCGTCCAAAATCTGTTAACTGGATGTAAAAGCATACAAGCAACAATAAAAAAAAGTTTGTGACATAAAAAGACATAATCAAAATAAAAAAACACGGTCTACAAAATTTCTATTAATAACATAATTAGCCCCGGAAGTGTATAAAATTATGGTGGCATGTTTCTGCCACCAGATAACCATATAACTAACTAGTTAATTAAGAGGTTAACTAGTTACGTAACTAGTTAACCTCTTAATTAACTAGTAAGTTATCAGGTTACATGTAACTATTTACGTAACAAGTTAACCTCTTAATTAACTAGTTAGTTATCAGGTTATCTGGTGGCAGAAATATGCCACCATATAAAATGCATATAATTTATTTTTTAAAGAACTTTTTATGTTTAGTGTACATTTCGTTGTTTACTAAAAGTTACTCATTGCCCTAAAAATAGAGAAAAAAAGAATTCCTAACGAAAGTTCAAAACAGGTTTGATTTAGCCTGTTCATGGACGATACTGTCAAGTGCAAACTACCCTTCACACCCCCTTGCATAGGCTTAACATGGAATGGTCAAAATTTTGAAAACAATCTTTTTCTTTTGCTGCTTCTTGGCAATAAGTATTGTAACAGTGTTTATATATTTTGAATGGAAAGTCAAAATTCAACTTTGTTATTATTTTGCTACTTTCATGACAAATAATATCATACTTAGTATTTAGCGCTACATTCTTCAGATAACACACAGCTTAAATGCTCTAAAACCATTATTTTAACGATATAAAACTCATAATTTTCCTTTCGGAGGAACTCAATTATTCGTTTCCGAAGCATAACGTGTCTTTCAAAGCATTTTGTACATCTTAAAGTAAGTAAATAGATTAATGCCTCCGAAGGATCACTTTGTTTCCAGATTGTTATATAAAAACGATAGATGCATATATTATATCATAAATCTTTGTGTTTTAATTAATAAATTTGTAAAATTCAAATGCTTAATTAATGAAAGATATAGTGTTATATAGAATAGACAAATTACCTTGATAGCGTATGCTGATTTAGAGAACAGGAATGATAGCTGAAGTTTCTGTAAAATTCTCATGGTAAGTTTTGGTCCCCAACTCAAGAGAAATGCCACTATTATCATAAGCAGAAGCTTTATCACCTAGAAACAAACAAACACGTTTAATAAATTTGGCTCTCTCTCTCTCTTTAATTCCAAATTGTGTTCATCTAATGAAGGAATTTAAAGCACGCAAAAATATAATACATTTTTCCAGTAGGTATAATATGAAAAAGAATATCAAAAAGGAAGGGCTTCATTCTTTGAATGCAACCCAAAACACAGAAACACAACCGCTCGTATTAACATATTTAAATGGTAGATTTAGAAGAAAAGTCTAAAGATTGCTAAAATATTTTCATTAAAACTCATATTTTTGTCTTTAAAGAATCTATATATACATATAAATATATAAATCAACATATAATATATGATAAACACGATCAACGTATGGTGGTTGCTTTCATTAAACGCCTCCTTTCCTTTTTGATCTTGTTATCATATTTAACACCTCTATTTCAAACGGTTCTTAAATGTGAGAGATATTGTCTGTCCTCTCATGTTAAAAACCAAGAGTGAAGTCCCTATAATTGGCTTTTTAAGTCATGTCAAAAGTCAAAAAATATTTATTTCTCTCATTCCATGTACAGACAAGACACAATGGGGTTCAATCTTAATACCTGTTTCCGGCTGGCAAGAACCTTTGATTTGTGACTTGTTATTGCCCTCTTTAGAAGTCTTGGCACTGCTGGTGTTTTCATTCCTAGACTACAAGTTTCTATTCTTGTCAAAAACAAAGCGTCACACACCCTGAATAAAGAAACAAAACTCAATCAATTTCAATATTTAATTTTAACCCACATGGTAATATAAATGCACTTTGATCAAAACAAAATGTTTGCCTCAAATAGTACCAACATACATTTTGACATCAAATGTCTCAATGCCATCAATGATGCCATCCAACTTGTTTTTTTATTTTCAGTAAGGCTACTGAGTTAGGTTGTTTACGATAATTTTGATAATTAAGAATAAATCGTTTCCTTATTATGCCCCTCGTCTTAAATGGTAATAAAATAGAAAAAAAGATAAAAATCATGGAGAAGTAATTTTCCTGGCGTCATTTGGTTATTTGACGTCATGTCTGACGTTATATTACGTGAAAACATCCAATTTTTATGCTGCGCATATATTCTGTATGTATGCACTTGATTTTCCGATCTGTTTGATAGTAGAATTTTATGAGGCGTGTTAAAATATTTATTTAAAGATCCTGTATGTTTTGTGATTGATTGTTACTGTCTGTATACCACACTTGCAAAAATATATATATAAATCGGTAATATCTTTATAAATAATGCTTATTGGAACTTACAGTATTGACAAATCTTAATTTGAGCATCATATTTATGAAATAAAACCATGAAAAAAATGTGTTACAGGATATTTAACCGTTCAAACAATATTTATAATTACAAATATAATAAAGGAACTTGTTTCAGGCATGCTCTTACCTGTCTGATGGTGTTAATTTAGCCAATTCTTTTGTACTAATCCATAGTACATGTACTACTCTAGAATAGCAAATCATCATTATAATCAAGGGAACCAGAAACATGATGACAAACTGGTACCCGGCAAATGATAACCTGAATGCATCGGCCACACCATGGTCGGAACAAAATATTTTGTTCACTGAGGATTGATTGTTGTAAAAAACTGACATTTCTGTTGACTAAAAATGAAACAAACAGTGAGAATATTAGAAATATATCCTGAGGCTTGATCTTATTAAATGTCATATTACTTTCATCTGTTTAAACAATGCATCTTGTTGACTACCATACGATTGTTTACAAACACGTCACATTTCAAATATTGACAGAATGAAATGAATAAATCCATTATATTCATGCTAGAAATTGTTTAATTGTCTGTATAAATAGATTTGATTTCTATTTTTCATCTACGTTCAAAATAAAGCACTCCCATCTGTTTGTTCACTTGTGAGTTCTATGTCTAGATTTGTTTGGTAAACTTGACAAAAGAAGACACAAGACTTAAAAAAGAGAGAAGAAGGATCCCTAAAAACCTTAAAAAACAACAACATTTAACTCATGTCTCCCATTTTATGATTTTTTTTCTGTGTGAACACGTTATCAATATCTCTATAAAAATTCTTGTTTGCTAATTTAAATATCTATATTAATAAGCATATGCTTATAATTATGTAAATTTACATATGTACACTACTGTACTAGAATGAAATCGAGCATTCCGGATTTACATAGATAAATTTCGTTTTTTTTTTATTTATAAAGAAATTGAAAGTACAATGGATATTAACAAAATTTTATGGCACGATTCTTCAAATTCCTCATTTAAATAAATTTAAATTATATATTCTTTAACCATTCCTTTGTTTGTGATGTACTCTCAATCAGTATAAGTAAATATTTACGACGAAGTGAAGACATTCCCTTGAAATATACATGTATTTAATTATTAAATTGCTTTTATGGTCATTAAGTAATGGGAAATAAGTACTTACCATAATGAAAAACGCTGGTGATGAAAGTAGTGCGGCAGTTGCCCATACAAGCGGAATAATACGGCGTAAGTTTCCTAGAGTACATATGTAACGAGATCTCATCGGATGAACAATAGCAATATATCTGAAATATAAAAGAACATAAAACATTCGTAAAGATATCTACGAAATTCTCTTTTAAAGGAATAATTATCTGCATCTTACCTATTTCACAACAGTATTTATTACAGGTGAGAATAATTGGTAAGGTAACGTTGTCATACACTTTAAGATTAAAGCTTCATTATCATGACTATGTTCACAATATGAATTATATATATATATGTCAATACATTTGTATGAAAATAAAATTATTGCTGTAGTAAAATGTGCGTTTGATTTATTTCTGAATCCATTTTGAAAGTTTCGCGTCAAAGACGGTTAAGAAAAAAAGGTATTTTCACAAAATTACATATTTTATACAGAGTACTGATTTGCCGTTTCTGTTTCTTAAGTTAAATATTAAAATGAATAAAAGAAGATATTGCCTTTGATTATTATACAGTTTTAAGAAATGAATTATTGCTGTTGAATGAATTCTTCACCAAGGATATAATTACGGATTATTTTTCTTTCAAAGACGTTTCATGATTCATTCTAATATTTTAATATTATAAACCCTTTATTTCTCTTTTATAATTGTATCATTATTTGATCATGTACATTTAATAAATATGAAGTATTTTTATGCTTAATGAAATTATTGAAATTATAAAAAATTAGCAGATGGATCTTAAAAAATGAACAAGAACTATTATTTTTCATGTTAGTAATGATAACTTATAATAAATTATTCATAGAAATAAATGCATTCGTTAAATTCTGTTTTTTCTGTTGTAAGTTACAATAATCAAGAGGACTTCACAATATAGTGATCTAACACAAACACATGTATACTCTACAAGATGTCAATTTATTCTTCTAAAATCCCTAACATCGAGACGCTCGCTAAACATGTTACTGAGCATGCGCATTATGTATATATTTATAGATTAGCTACCAGCTGTTATCACTACATCCCCCACATTTTAAAAATGAAAATAAAAATGTGCATTAATTAATATATCATTATCATAATGATAAAAACTAAATGATTCATTAGTAAATTTTAATTCTTAACAATCTCTTTTTTTCTGCAAAAGATAGTCAGGCATTTTATATCTCAACAAATATTTTTATTCATAACTTTAATTATTTTTTAACCATATTTATTTTACAATGCAACCTATTAGATGTAAGCAATCTGTAACATTTTAATATTTTTGTCATGGTGGGCGACCTAAGGAACGCTATTTTGATATTTATATATTGTGACAGATAATCATTAATGTGCGAAAATTAATTGTAACCTATCACATAAAAAAAACAACTGAATCATGTTTTCGCGTTTTTATTTTTTCAGTTGTTAATAAAACAACCTCTTTACATCAGGAAAATGGAAAAACTTCACGTTAGATTTATTTCTAATCAGTCAAAATATTGAAATATGCAAACCTCGAAGGTCAATTAATCAAGAAAAGGTGCGTTTGGGTGAAATTATTAATTTCAATCCCGAACCTTGAACAACGCAATATTCATGGAAAAAAATTGCAATGTATCTTTTTTATTTTCCAACGTCTTTAATTGCAAAGGAATGTTCTTTTTTGTAATAGAAAAAAAACAACAACAACATATCAACGTTTCTTCCAGATATTATACAAAATTGTATAATAAACTTCAGATCGTAAAATTTGTTTCATTTATAGTTGAATTGAAGAAACTTCGACGTTGATATAAAAAATCGTCTATATTTGAAAGTCGGTCAAGGATTGCCTTTTTCATACAAGGTCAGCAATTATTTTCATGCTAGGTCAGCAATTATACACGAAGTCTTACAACCTTTTAGTATTTTTTTCTAATCTATGAAAGTGATTGACATTAAATATGTCAATTAAATTAAGTCAATATGTATACATTATAACCACGTTAATTATGTAGCCTTTGTTGGAACTTTGAAATCAGAACCATTCCAAAAGACCTGTATGAAAGAAATATTGTTGTATATTACATTTTGAGCGACTATAAAAACGAACTTGAAGTAGCACTAATTATTTTGTTTCTAAACATTTATATAAATATATTACTTATATAAATTGAATTGCAAATATTATAATGATGAAAATTGCTGATTGGATGATTGATGCGATGACCTGCATTCAGACAAATTTGGAAACATGTTTACCGTTGCACATCTGATACTGTATTCTGGTAAAAAAGTTTAATCCATTACAAGAAATGATTTCAACAGTTAACGTACAATCCGTTAAATTATTTCTTACTTTATACATTTGTTTCAAGTTAGGTAATGTATGATAAGTTTTAAGTGTTGATTTAGAACAAATGATATATTTAGAATTCTTTGAAAGGTCATCTATCTTATTCATGGTACTTAAAAAGCCTCTTTTGTGATGACACTTATATGTAAACGTTCATAAGAAAATACTAGTGTTGATAAACAGAGAAAATAGAGCGAATGTGTAAAAATCGCAGAAACTGTGAGTTTATAGTATAGGTTTTAACGAGAACTCTCTTAAGAAATAAAATAATTGATTTAAGGACACGGCAGCATTCTCAGGTTGTTGCTGTTTCATTCTTATCTTTGCATTTGAAATCATAAAATGAACTTTTTTCCAAATGGCATATAAAAGTGTATAAAGCTTTAAACTGCTAAAAAATTATGGTAAAAAATACTTTCGAAATGCTCAGATGGCAGAGTATTGCCTTTTAAGCAAGTTGCGCGTGATTGTTATCATTGTTTAACGGTTTAAAACCCTACTTACATTAGATGCATTTTTTCGGAACATTTTATTCTGTTTACATGAACTATTCACGTGTATTAAACAATAGTGCCCTTCTAAGTTTCAGCTTTTCTAGAGTAGACCATTATCAGCTTATGGGAACAATATTATTTCTTTTGATTAATTTTACAAAAAAATCATACAGGAATAGCTTTAAATACATGTACGTTATTTTCTGGACATAAATAGATATACGAGCTCCCCGACATGAAATATAAATCTGGAATAGTGGTGATCCCTTGGAAGCATTGAAACAACAATTCAAAATTATATAAAATTATATGAAACTCGGTTCGCTAGAATCTGTTCATGAGAGAGTATATAAAATTTCAACATCTCTCGAGCCCCCTAGCACCGGCTAAATCGATTATGCAATTTTTGGAGGAATCAATGACCAGACAAACATAACAACATTGTAGTTTAAACTTGCCATGACTTATTCTTACCTCTCAATGCTTATAATCGTCAAATTAAGTACTGTTAGGACAGCTGTGAGCATTTCTATAAAACCAGACAGTTTGCACAAGAAGGCACCAAGCTTCCAGTGATCGATGAAATGTCGACTTATTTCGTAAGGAACGCAAACTAGTAGAAACAAAATATCTGATGACGCCAAACTCAACAGAAACATTGTCGTATTAGTTCGTTGTTTGATATCACTTACAATTGCGAATATGACTAAACTATTCCCGACGATGCCTACAAGAAATGCTAATCCATAAATAATAACCGTAGGAATATAATCAGTTTCTGTAAGCCAAGGTTTACGGAGCTGTGACAAGTCCCCGTAATAGTAGAATCTGTTTTCACCTTCACTACCCGTTTCATATAATCCATCAATGTAATCATACATGTAATTACTGTCCATTGAGTCAAAATGATGAGGCTTCTCATGGTAATGTATGGAATTGTTGACCTCCATCATGATTTGTCATACAATTAAATTTATCCCTTTTACTTGAAACGCCTTAAATCTACATCGTTTTATTTGTTTTTAAACGATTGAACGGTTTAAGTTTCAAAAATTTCAATTTCACAAGTCAAATCTATTATTTATAGAATAATTTGAGAATTGTTTAAACATACGATTAAACGTGTCTTATTATACGCATAATTTTTTATTCTTTGATTAAATCATCACTTAATTGCGATGACTAATGTGCGTAAACATACAATGTTCCTATAATGTTTCATATTAGAAAAGTATCTTTTAAGTCCGATATTTCTGCAATAGTGTCTTCCTTCTGCTATCGGAGCTAGGAATAACCTACGTGAAAGAAATTCTTCACTCTACATTAAAGGCTTAATGAATGGTATTTTTCTCTATTGTATTGGATTTCTTGTCACAAAGACTGTAGCCAGTTGTCAGAAAAATTATCAATGGAATTAAAGCCTCTCCTCTGCTATTTTTTATGATTTAATAATTATTTAATATTAAAATTGGTAAATTAGTCTAATGTTTTGAAACGGAAAAATGTAAAGAAACCATGTATAATTCATCTTTTGAAACAAAATATTTATTTTCGAGCCACCAATGTTATAATTTTTCAGTAAATGTACGTATGCATTAAAAAACAAAAGGGAAAACTTATTTTGTTGTCAATCAGTCGCCAGTTAGTGTTATCGTAAATAAAAATAACTTTGTGTCCTTTTACTTTTCGCTAATGGCAGTGACGCGTGAACATCACTTTTCTCAAATATTCACAATAGAAACACGTTGTTGTCCAAGATACCATATAAACGATATTTAGACGGTCAGAAAATCATAATATTCAGTTCATCGAGAGAATTAAATTAAAGTTTAATATCTGATCTATGATTTTAATTCCTTTGCAAGAATTTTATGAACATTTGTATATTGCTGCTTCATCTTGAAGTGTTTAAGTAATAGAAAGAGCATCGAAACACGAGGCGAAGGGGCGTTACCCCAGAGTATAAATCAGATTGCCGAGTGTTTTTATATTTTTTCTCTTTTGTATTATAGTCAAACATTAAAACAGGTTTCCTGATACCACAATATAAAACCCCACAAAAAAGTAACCAATGAACGAGCATCTGAATATGATATTTCCATCGCTATCCCTTTCTCAGTCGTCACAATATGTAAACCCCGGACAAAACCAACCAATCTGCACTCCAGTTAACGCAATGTGCATGTATATGTATACGATTTATCTCTGTCATATTTTCAACAGAAAGGTCCCCAAGCTATGATACAAATAGTAGCTCTTCCTGATTCCCTTTTGGGGCATCACAAATATATTTTAACGACTATTGAATAAATCCATAATTGTATCATAGTTTGGGTACCTTTCTATTGAATATGTGTCAATGAGTAAAATCGTATTCACATACATACAGTGCGTTAACACGCATGCAGGTATTAGTCACCCGCACTCCAGTTACCGCCCAGTCTGTCAGGAATAAAAAATAGAGCCTGCTCATTGATTGGCTCATCTATTTCTGGGGTTGACTTATTGTGGCAATAGAGACAGATATAACGATAGAAAAGTCATATTCGTTCATTGATTACGTTTTTCTAGGGTTTCATATTGTGACGACAAGGAACGTGTTTTTTATTTTTGCCTATAATTCAAAAGAGAAAGGACATCAAAACACTTGGAAATCTGGGGGCTACGTGCACATCAGTTAACTTTGTGTTTCGATTGATGCTATTTCTATTACTTAATCTGGCTAAATCTTTTTACTAGAACTTTGATCAAATCAAACCCCGCATTTAAAACAGTTGAAGTATTATATTATCAATGCTTTCCGTTAAATTGTACTAGAGAAACACATATCTAGAAATCTTCTTGAAATAATTGCTTTGCCGGCTTACAACAAAAATGCATAAAGATAATTTTATAGCAGCAAATAAATTAATCTTAATTTGAATGAACCAATGCTTTGGTATTTTCTTCGAACTTGCTCTTTTTCTTTGCTTTGTTTATTCTATTTCAAGACAAGATCTGAGACAATAATTACAACCGGCATAAAGGAAACACAATTTGACTTTAATGTTTTGACAGTGTACAGTTTTATTATATTTTTCTGACCCTTTGCAATCATTGCCTTCAGTAATGTATAGTATACACGATTGAACATTTATTAAAAAGGGAGAAAACAGAAGCCCTACAGATCGTCCAAAACAACAAAATCGAAAATGTTGCAGTTTCGGTTCGTTTCAGCCTGTTTATTGACGTCACTGGTAAGTTTAAGTTACCGTCCACGCCCTCTAGCTAAAGCAGAATTCAACATTTAAACATGAACATGCTATAGTTGGTCGGTGCTTGTCGCGTGAGAGATACTTCACTTTCCAATATCTCTTGTGCAAAGACTTTATCAAAACGAGTCTGAAGTTTTCATTTTTAAACTCTGTTTTCACTGCTCTCGGCCTCGGGGGATTTTCCCTTTTCAAAAGTTGAAGATGTATATAATATTTCCAAGTCTATTTTTTCATACCAAAAAATGATAACAACATTGAAAAAATGAAATAAACAACGACAACAAAAATTACAAAAAATGTATTAAACAAAATTAATAAAAATAATAATAATAAAAAAGTAATATTAATAATAAAAAAAACAACAAAAAAAGCAAACTACTTACAAACAAAATAAAATAAAGCCACACACACAATACACGCACGCACAAATAAACACAAAATATACATAAAAACTTTCAAAGACTACCCTTGCGCACAAACAAAAATCTTATAAAAATATTTCAATGTTATTACAACCTTAAAAGAACTGCTACATTTGACAAATATAGTGTAGTTATCCCTAACACATTTACAATGATCAGTGAAATAAATAATACAAAACCATAGTAAAACGGAAGTCATCATGAAAAAACAATATTTTATTATTATACGGTTTCATAGGATGATTATTGTATACAAGTACTCCCGATATTTACTCAATAACACCACTTTCTACTTTATTGCCGTCTAGTTGATACCAGTCCTGTAAAGACAGTTGCTACATAATCCCATGTTCAGACTAGTGTAAATGTCATCTGTTATTTTCTTTATTTCCCCCTTTCCCCAACAATATGGGTGACCCCATTTATTCCCCGTGTAAATAATCAGTATGGGTCGAGGGCCATTCCAAACTGACCATACAAAATAATTTTTGGACAAACATTTACAGCAGGTATAAAAAAATATGATTTCATGAATTGTCATAGCATGGATTATGGTTATACAGTACAATAATTGATGACACCTTTTTACTAGACGTAAAAGGTTGAACAAAATAGTGTTATTTCTTTCTTGCAGCCATCTACGTAGATAATTTTAATACTAAAATATGATAAACAAGATCGACAAGGAAAGGCGGCATTCAATGAACGCAGCCCCCATCCGACCCAGCAACAAGCGTCAGCGGCAAGGAGCCCAGGAGGACTCCAAAGAAAAACAGGACAGGGCACAAGGCAGAGTACGGGCAAGCAAACCACTACATCAAAATACATAATTAGTAACTTATAAGGAGGCATACTTCAAAAATGCATAAAATTGATTCACCTTTTACCCAAACCTAAATAAGAAATTGATATGGACTTTACAAAAATATTCATGTGCATTTGATACTTTTTAATAGCACACACAGACATAAAATAAATATCTAAAAAATGAAATGTCGTCATTTTGTTTTTATTCAAGAGTCAGATATCAATAACATTAACTGATAAAAACAATGTTTATTGTATATCATGACAATTGTAAATGTTTGCTATTAAGATATAAGGAAAAGAATATTCAATGATAAAGATATATAAAGTAAATTAGATACGTACGTTCTAACATTAAATCCATCAAATTGAATTATTTCACTGTAAAGAATGTGACCATGATTAATATCAGTATCTGCACTGATTTTCAGAATAAACATTCAAAAATAGAGAAAATTTTAATGTTTCAGGCCTCCATATGATCCAACATTTTTTCAGTGTAATCAGCCTTGACAAAAAGGTATGCACATTTTAAGAAAAGTAGTAATATGTACAATAAATCTAAGAAGGAAGTAACAGTTATATGCAATGTATGACTGATTTTGCAGATTTTAACACGATGACTAGCGCGGTAAGGGCTAATATCGCTTATTTTGATCGCCTCCGTGTTGGAGGGGTTAGAGTCGATGACTTTAATCAGTGGAATTGCATTTTGACATATAAGAGAGACTTAATAAGAATGCAAATATATTTGAAAACGAATTATCGTGTTCAATAATTCTAGTGTTTTTCCAGACATATTTTTGTTTATCAGGTCTATATTTTTATTATTCTGCTTAAGTTTTGATCAAATTTGTAAGCACTCCAAGGTTATCAACGCACGAAGGACATGTTATACTTTATTTTTACATAGTATGCAAACATTACCAGTTATGCTAATGACTAATAAACATTTCTTTTTCATTCCTCCTCAATTTTTATATTGTTAACGCAATGTCATCTTTCTGTGTTTAAAATATTGATGATAGTTTAGATGTAAAATCAGGCATATAAGAATTTTATCAAAGGAACCCTTATCAAATAAGACTGCAATGTAAAAATGCATTAAATGTATGCTCAAATGATTACTGCATATTCAAGGCAATTACCAGTGTTTGTTGTAGAGATACCTTAAAAATAAGCAGACGATACTGACAAATGATCAAATACGATCTGAGATTTTCTGTCCGCCTGCATTCCTTTTATAAAGAACATCAATTTCGGCAAAATCAACATCTTATTGTCAATTAGTCTTATAACATTTATTAGTAGATGTTTGAAATAGAGAAAAATCGAATAACTTAATCACGCCCAATTATGTTGCAGGCTCTGTTTATACAAGCCAGTCCATGGACGATAGTGGCAATTTCAGGCTACCTTAAACGACCCTTGATCC